CATTGAAATTCGAAAAAAGTTGATCGAATTGAAAAAATAGTTCATCAAATTGAATAAAGGTTCATCAAAATTTTAAATAAGTCCATGGAATTTGAAAAAAGGTCATCGATTTGAAGAAAATGTCAATGTATTTGCGAACAAATTCATCGTGCCAAGACAAAGAAAAAGAAAAAGAAAAAATGGAAAACAAAAAAAAGGAAAAAGGAAGAAGAACGAATAATAGACGAAAAAGGTAAAACATAACCAGATCCGCGTGGTTAAACTAGCGGTAAAAACACGTAAATGGCCCGGCCCAATGTGCCGCGGGGGTGTGCGCCCACGCCTGCAACGGGCGCCATTTAGGGAATGCCTTCATTGTTCCTCCTGTGAACATGCCTTCCTTTATAATCCGGCTTTCCTTCCTTTAATCCTTCCTTCCTTATTCTCAAGTTAGAGACTTATTCCTTGCAGAGTTAGTCTCTCACACCCTTCACTGCTTAATTCCCGAGACAGCTCCTTAACACCGAGAAAACTAAAAAGCGTATATAAATTGGGAGGATTTAATGTAAGGGGGCAATGTGGGACTATTCTGTACAAGAGTAATTTTCTAGCCTTGCCCAGGCCTTTAACCCTTTTGTTTTGTGGGTTGTGGTCGCTGGCTTAGTTGGGCTGGGCTTGTGCCTTTAAACTCGGTGATGGATAAACGAAACTAGATCGACCGGTGACGTACGGGCAGGCAACGAAACATTTTTATAGCGATTATTATTATTATAGACAGCAACATACGACCATAGCCCTTTTATTATTATTAGGAAAAGATAGTACCACATCGGGTATATGTTTTAGATTCAAACTGAAAGCGTAAATTCACGGGAAAAAGCGTATTGTGACGGTGAACCCACGGAGTCAATCCGTGCTTTATTATTAGGAAAAGATAATTTGGCAAAGAGGGAGTATATAAAACTAAAACAAAGACTAGAATGGATTTGTATCTAGTTATGCAGACAGTTTTGGTTATTGCTCTTGACTCTTGTGTCCAACAACGGTCAGATCTTGTTTGTGTTGCATTCACCAGTCGTCAACTGTTGGATTTCTTTTATGAAAAGCAATAACAATTGCATTTCATTGATGAAGAAGAACACATTTTACAAAGCTCAGATTGAACATAGTAGACCCCAACTTCTATGGGAGAGAAGATGAGACCAACAAACACACAATAACACCACAAGAGCGCGCGTGCGCGCACACACACACCCACATTAAGGAACTCGACTTCAGGATCATGATCTCTCAACCAAGAGTAGGATCTTCATCTTCCATCATCGTCTAACCAAGCAAGGCAGACACGTTGAGCTTGGCTGGTGCCATCCGACAACACCCCTCAAAGAGAGGGAGGAGTGTTGTATCGGAACAAAGGTGGGGAAACAAGTAAGACGACACACATCAGCACAAGGGGGGAAGGAGAGACATAGACGGAGGAACACAAAAAGATCAGTTAAGAAACCTAAAAGTTTCAGGAGTAAAGTGAAAAAGAAAAAACCTGAACTAGGAAAACTGAAACCAGGAAACATGTGCGGTCATCTCTCATTACACCATGTGTCAACATCAGAGCACGGCGGAAAAGCCTCCCGATGCACAACGTCACAACGCATGTTGCGCTGGGGCGCGATATGAAGTGACCTCCATGGGGGTACCCCTTAACTAGTGATTTCACAAATTTACCTGTCAATGGAGAGACCTTCCATTCCACGGCTAGCACCCCAGGAGTCCTCCAAAACAACACTCCCATGCCTATCCTACATAATCCATACTACTTCTAATTATTTCAATATACCTTCTTCCATATCATTAAAATTGTTGTTGATGTTAGATTTACTGGCTTGATCCACCGGCATCCGTCTGATCTATGCTTGAGAATTCACTATCACGCAACATGCATTAGTGCATTTAAAGTGGATTTTAAATCACATTGCATCTAAATTATGGCATGCACAACTTTTCACGTTAAGATTTTTTGTACTTTTGGAGAAATTTCTCACATCCACTATTCTTAAATAATTGATCCCCACTAAGTCTAATCTATAATACCTAAATAGTTCATCCCCACTAAGGTAATTCTCTTGACATGCAAGCTATCCACATCAGCGGCCCCACTACCTCATTACCTTGCTGATGCCATCTTTTTCTTTTCTTTTACAAAAGGATTCCTCCGCAGCTTTGCGTTTTAAGTCTTCACGGCGCCGTTCTATTTCCCCCAGGGATTCTCCATGCAAGCGCCACTTGATTTTCCTCTCCCTCTTCACCTTCTTTAATCGCCATCAAATCTAATTAATATATCTTCTCCTTCCTCGTGCAGGGTAACAGATGGACGCCTCCCCCCACGAAGCCCCTCGGTTCATCTCCCTTGGGCTTCATCCCTATAAATCCTTTGTCCCTCTTTGCATTCACCGGCGCATCTCAGGCTACCACATCATCCAGCCATGTCACTGCTCCTCACCATCCTATACCAGCCTCCTCATTCTCATATCCCTGATGTTGATGTTACAGGAGTAGATGATTATCATGAGCCTAGGGCGTCAACATGCGTCTCTGCCTCTAGCAAAAACAACGACTTCCACAACCTTCTCATGCACGGCTATGCGGAGCCCTCTCTTCCTTCCTCAAAGTCATCGTCAGTGTCTCCCTGAACCATCGAGGACACGGGCACCAGCAGCAGCAATACCTCCAGGTCCATCTCGCCGGCGATCAGCGGGGCATCCTCACCTACCTGCTCACGTCACCACGGCCCGAGACCTGCTCACCATCATGCTCCATGGCTAGCTGCTCCCACTAGCATAACCTATTACTGCCACTAACTGCAGCCTGCCTCTGCCTACAGCGCCGGCGGGCGATCATCTCCTACGGCTCAGGACCAACCAGTCATCAGTCGACTTTATCATAATAGAGAAGCAGCGCATATGGCCGCCCTCTGACAACCTCACAATGACGGCCAAGGTCACATGAAGCTGGACCAGGAGCTGGACAGCAGGACAGGGTGGAGGACGAGTTCCTGACCGTGCTCGACTTGATAGTTGATATGAAGAAACTATTGGGGTAAGAGAAGGCCACATATTTGCTTGAGTTTCATTCCCATCAAGCCTGGCTGGACGCTCCGCCACCATTGTTGTCTACTCTATGATGGCGACAACACCTATATGCCATTTTGTTCCTCTGTAGATACAGTCCTTCCACTCTGCCTTAATTCGTTGTACAATATGAATCAATACCCTAAACGAAAATACTCATGTGAGCCCGAGCTCACAGGACCCCGGTATCTGTGCCACTTATTTCCCTCGTGATCTGGGCCGGAATGGGTATAGCGGTAGGTATATTGATGGTGTTGTTATTTCCCGAAATAGGAGTTGGCCCACAACATAGGTAATTCCGTCAGTTAGCTTGGTGGCGGATCAGACGGGACTGGACGGGGTGTGCCGTTTGGTCGCACATTCTGGTCTAACAGAGCCGTTTAGCTCATTTATGAGTACTAGTGGTGGCAGGCACCAATCTTCTCCAGCAATACTCCTCCCATCCCTCCCCTCTTTATAGTTCTAGATCCATCTCCCCATCGGCTGATATTGCGAGCGAGCCAACCCAGTCTAGTAGAACTTGTCCTTCCGGAGAGCATCTCTGCATCATCATCCTCCAGTGGCTTCGAGCAGCTCCCACCACTCATCAGCTGCCTCAGTGCGGCGGCCGGGTATTCACCTGGATTGCTCGGGCGGGTCAGAATGCAGGCGTTCGTTTCTACAAGTGCGTCAACAAGGACGTGAGTACGACCCATTCTCGCAGCTCTCGATCTACTCGTGTTTTCCAAACATCTAATACATTCTTCTTCCTTTGCCGATTCGATTTGTTTTTCAGTCCGGGCTCTGCAACTACATGAGAACCAAGGACGAGTACCTTGCCGAGCTGAGCTATCATCTGGGGGCGGCGCAGCAGCCAGTGCACGGAAGTAGCCAGGCGGGATCTTATCTGAACCGCAGGGTTCGTGTCCGAGAGCAGATGCGAAGTGTTCCAGCCGTTGCACAAGTTTTCAGGGCCCAGCCATGGGTTAATCAAGGAGGCACATCCACCGCCGCCCTCCGTGTTCTTGTGTTCTTAGACGGAGCCATACTGTTTGTCGGAGTGCTGATCTTGCTGGCGCTGGTCAAAGTAGTATTCCTGCTTAGCAGGTAGATGGTGGGCATGTTCACGGAGTACTTGGAATAATTATGAAGGTGTGCCCGTAGTATGCAAAGCGCTGTTTAGGCGAGATGTGCCATGTGCTATTAGTGTAAGCCCGGTGTAATATGTCATGAACCGAGTAATGAATGTATGGTCAGTTATTTTCTGTTATGCAAACGTATGGTCTACTACCCGGCAGTATCAATCGTTCATCTTTTTTTTATTTCAACAATTTTACGTTTCTGATACAATTAGGTGTGTGAACAGTGTTTTTAATTAGCGCGGCCTGCGACCGGCACGGTTGGCGGACGCAATAAAGTCCACCTACTAGCTACGGCAGCTACCTCCAGTCCGTATACCAAGCCGCCCACGCGCACCCACCCAGCGCCCCTCGTATGTATCGCCTCCCCGGTTCCCTGCTGCTTCCGAGCAGTTGCGGTGGCTACTTTGGCCGACGGCGAACCCACTGTATCCTCGGAAGATTTGCAGGTATGCGTTCGATCTATTCAAATCCATCCCCCTCCCCTGCCCTCTCCCCCACCTTGACTATCCATCTGTTTAGTCCATCATATAATTGCGCTGCACCTAGTGGGTTCTTAAAACATGCGTTTTCTAGTTTAGTTGGAGATCTGTTCGTAGGCGGACCAGGCACATGTGCTTCACCATGTATTAATCTCAGAAAAGTTTGTATCTTCAGCAACGAGAACCATGCCATTGTCTGAATCAATTTCAGCATAGTTGTACCCTCCAGATTTTTCGAAAAAGTTCATGATTCTTATATATGCTCTGAGCACAATTACATTTCATATGTAGGCATCATGTCTGACGCTAGTAGTAGTGATGGAGTGGCAGTCCTAGGTGATGCTGGAGAAGCTAACAATTATGAGCAGCCATTGCCTGCTACTGAAGCACAGCCGCCTCCTACTCCAACTTCTAGAATTTCAGTTAGGAAAGTCATAGAAGTAATCGAGACATTCGATGAGTACAAGAGATGGCTTGTTACTGAAATTGGGTTTGATGGAATGTTAAAGCTGCCTATGCTCCAGAAGCTTAACCTCAAGTTCAGTGCTTGGACTATGAGCAAGGTATGCGTCGAGCGTCGAGCAATTGTTCTGTCAGAAACCAAGATTCTCAAGTTTTTTGCGGAGGACATACACAAGGTGTTCGGCATACCATGTGGACACCGGAATGTTAAAGGGCGTGATGGATTCATTAAGCCAGAAGCTGTAAGATTTATTAAAACCACACTAGGGATGGATAAGACAGGAGTGCATAGCCTACGCGCTGCCGAGGAATTCCTTTTGCGTGACATTTCCGAGACGTCCAGCAAGCTAGAGAAGGATTGCTTCCAGATTGCATTCATCATTTTTGTGATGGGGCATGTGCTGGCACCCAGAACAAAACATGATTATGGAACGATAGACTACTGGGGTGCGCTGGCAAACACGGAGAATATTGCACAATTCAACTGGTGTGAGTTTGTACTGGAGTTTTTGCTCGAGGGAGTCAGGCGGCTTAAGAATGACATGATGGCCAACAACCCGAACACCAACCTGGTTGGTTGCCACTTGTTTTTGCAGGTTTGTCAAGTAGTGGTCTGATTTTACCTTTCAGGCGCAATGAAAAATCGTGCGAATCATTTAATTCACATTCTTGGCATGTAAACAACTTTACAGATTTTCTTCCTCGACAACGTTGACCTGGGACTTTTCAACAAGAAGCATAATGTCCTTCCTCGGATTAGTGACTTTGACCAAAACAGCATCAGAAACACGATAACCATGGCAACCGACATTGGGAAGGGCCCTGCATCATACACAAAATGCATGGTAACCATGGAAGCTTATCAAGTGAGGCTGGCAACATTTTTTATGTTTTTTTATTCCTAACAAGACACTCATGTCTTCATGGCAGATTCGACAGGGCCATGATATATGCTATGGACGCTGCAACATCCAAGATTCTACTGAGAGAAGCTCCAACAAGCAACTAGTAGGTGGTAATATGGATCAACATCACAGCAACCCAACCAATGACAGGGAGGAGTCAGTGCATGCATCATCATCTGCAGCTGTCAACCTAATGGATGTGCAGACACCTCTACGAGCGCTCGGGCCAATTGATTTTGCAGAGCATATGCGTACCCGATACCCTAGCTTGGTATGATTTACTACACCGGGGCGTTTTTCCAACATTCTTCTGTGATTTGTGCTTAGTTGGACATGTGTTTGTTCATGTCACGCATTTCTGATTTTGTATCTGGTGGCGTTCTTTTATGCTGCTGCAGGTCAAGGACGAGTTGAGTTTCATACTAAAGGAGCAGAATGCCAAATGCCAGCGTGAAATCAACACTGCTCGTGTCAATGTGCAGGCAGACATGATTAAGTTTGTCGACAAGTTGATGACATCGATCAGCAAGAGGTGCATTTGCTGTGCTGCTCGAGGTTTTACTGACTGTCCAGCAAGAGCAATTCAGCCATGCCCAGGGGTCGAAATTCAGACTCCTATTGGCCCGAAAATCCCATGCGTTAGGCTCGACATGTCTGCTTGCAAAGGTTTCCATGTTTGTTGTTTTGTAACTCCCTATGTTGTTCTTTGGTTTTACATGGTGCAATGTAGTGCCATTTACATGCCCCGCTAAGTCATTTTGATGACAAATGTCACACCTTTGTTTAGGTGCCACGTCTCGCCCCAGGTCTGATGGTGATGATCAGGGAGAACAGCAGCAGAACAAGCGGGCGCGCAATGATGAAGGAGCAGTCGCAGCCATGACAGAACAGATTATTCCGTTTGCAAGGCAGACCCTACAGTCAGTAAGCAAACTGTTTATTGACCTTCCGAATGATGGCAGTACAACGGTGTTTGGACAGAAGGCAGTCGTGCTTCCAGGAAGAAAATATGTTTTTAGGGCTGGTTTCCAAACTGACCCATGGATCAGGGGGGTTGTACCGTGCCCACCTCAGCCCTATGTGTCTGAATAGTTGGAAGGGTTCTTCAGTACGGCACCACCAGGAGAGCTATCTAGGTGATTATATCAAACTAAGTCATTATGATACATGATGTTCACTTGTTTCAGTCGAGACAGTTCACATTCATATTCTCTTAACTCACAGGAACTTCCTTGTGCATGAGAACCCAAGGTTCTTACGAATAACCGGTGCAGCGATGAGAATGCAGTTGGTTCAAGACGAGCCAATTGACCACGAGCTGATGTTAGTGATTATTAGAAGGTACTGTCAGGCTGATCAGGAAGCAAACAAACACTCGCCGTATCTAACATGGAGGCATCCACTTGAACCAGAGTTCTCGGTCAGCTATACAATTTTCTGTGCACATGTAAAAACACCTTGCTTTCATTTGTTATTATACTGATGCTGGATATGTTCTAAATGCAGACACTGGTATTGTCAGATCATGATTATGTCCATACGATGTCTATCTAGAAACCATTAGGGGCGGATGCGCTTAAGTATGACATCACATCAGCTCAGCTGGTAAGAGTTGTGTACTAGCAACGCCGAATTCATGTTTGTTTTTCAGTTTGATTTCCTGCTGGACTTATGCTTCCTGTCTTCTATTCAGTTCTTCATGCCTGTCCCACGCCCCGAAGGATGGATTGTAATTTTTTGGGACATGGTCACCCGCACGATGTTTGTTATCGAACCGATGTACCACAAGAAAAGCCGACCCCTGACCACTCATGAGAGGGACGAGATTATTGCTTGGAAGCTACACGATGCCCTGTTCAATTGCTTAGATGAGTACTATGCTGGGTGGCCCGTCAACAAAGAGAGATGGAATGTCAAGTTCCCCTGCTCTTGCCCATAGCATTTTCACTAAGTACATTCTTCATCCACCCTTCTTGTTTTCACTCAGCGCCACCTCCACGATCTTGTTACTTATCTAATTGTGATTTGTCCCGTGCCAGAAATGAAACAGGTGCTTGCGTTGTTCACATCACCGCCCATTTCGACGGCAAGAAGCTAAAGCTGCCGCTAACCAAGCTTTATCGCTCAGCCATGTCTCACATGAAAGCTACTGGTGTACCCTGTGTAGACTAATTTTTCTGCCAACATCAATATGCTCACTACCATTTCTGAATATCATCTTTTGCAGCACACCATATCAAAGACAAAGCGGGAAACGCTTTACGAGTGCATGAAGTTGCAGGGCAATTTCTCTTCCCACGCACGCGACACTCTGTGGCGCCTCCTTGCATCGTCAGACTCCATATTTGAATCAGAATGAGTCACCCTTCTATATTTATGTGTCTTTCAATCTAGCCACTTGATAATAAGTGTCTTACAACTTAAGCCCCCGCATCCGGTGTGTGATCCAAGGTGATGTTTCCAATCAGTTGTTATAGTTATTATGTCGTAGTCAAGCACCTAAACCATGCTGTATTTCTGAAGTGGATTGTTCGATGGTGAAAGTGCAATATGCATGCTTTAATTTTCTACGCAATTTACCCATTTTTCCAATGTGGATATACTACCAATTTATCTAAACGAGCCGTGCCAACGTAATTACACAAGTCAATTTTGTGCCAAACCAACCTCATTGTTTTGTAACTACCCCTCAAACAATCAACTCTCCCTCGCAGGACCCTTGAGGCCAACTTGGAAAACCAGACAACAATTCAATGTAATTCCTTAAGTCACATTGGAACCATTCCCTAACCTGGGCACCATGTTGCAACCAAACATTTCTTCTACATTTTCCCACCCAACAACTTAGGCATAGTGCAATATTCATGTTTGTTGGTGTGTTTCTTTCATGTGCTAGGATCATCACATATATTTTTGTCAGTGTGCCCCGCCATTCATCTGCACATGGTGTTACGGTTTGGAGCTTCAAGTGAGCCTAAGGTTGGAATGCCTCACCCTATGCCATAGCCACATATATCTTACCTTATGCCAATGCAATACTAGAGCAAACGTTTTCCTTAATCAGCACAACAATGCACGTCAAGTTAACCATCTCACTAACATTACTAAACTGATACCAACTATGTCTAGCATTCTCAAATACTTGGTGTCCATATGTCTTACATAGCCAACGGAGACACACACCCCAGATATTACATAACTGACCAGCATACAAGTCTAGTTCAAACTTAGCTGGTAATAAACTTAGACGTGGCAGCCAGGTAGTGATAACAATCTCTTAAACCCCCCTCTCCCTCATGTTGAATGGGGTGTGGAAGCTAAATTGCATCCCTTCTTCGGCGCCATTCTGTCTTCAGTTTTGTATCGCCCGTGAAATCTAGGAACCGTTGGCACACCACAAATTTGTGGGGTGGCAACTAACATCCCCAGATCCACCTATACGCAAACACTTCTCTGACCGTCTCGAAGATTTGCGTTCCAAAAGGATGCTGCCATCCAGTAGCATTTAGAATGGCAGCACCTCCTCAACCATGAAGTCTGGCAGCTCACCCACATTGCCCCTCATTGAGATAACTTCATATGCTATGGATTGTCGCAGGTAGTTTAGGCGCCCCTGCAATTTAGCACTTCTCATTTTTAGACATTCTCGCATATTTGTTTCAAGTGATGAATAAATGTTAAGGTCGTCTGCTCACTGGGGTTAGCTGAGTCTGAAGATATAGCCCAGTGTACTCCCTGCTGTAGTTGATAATGTGCAGCCAGCTATCCTCTCTGCTTGTACACGAGCACATGAAAATAAGTTAGAACTTGTATGTGGCACAATTTATATTTTTGACAATTCGAACATGTGGTCATCCATCATACATCTCGCAGCTTTCATGCATGCCAACGTTGTAGTTGATCGTCCAGCCCTGAGCCGGCACATACCACCCAGTGATGTTCTCATGTATGCAACGCCTAAGTCCCGCTAGGATGAAGTTTGCATTGTCTTCATGCTTGTACTGCATCTCCTCAATTGGCTCTGAAGTCTCACATGGGTCCATGACCAACAATGTCCTCTCTTTGACATCCACAACATATAGCGACCAACTTTCCATCATTGGGACTGGGAGCATGAGCTGCATAGCAAATAGAAGAACATATATTCTTGTTCAATCTGTCACATTTGATAATATCAGCAATGTTCATATAAGCTCATGCTAGTATATTTGTTGACGGGCTACCTTCTTTGTCCATTGCAGTCGATGCCCGAGCGCCTCATAGCTCATCATTGTATTCATGAATTCGAAGTCCAAATCATAAGACCTGTACATAAGAGCGAGCTACGAAAAGGGACAACAAGTAAGTATCCATGTGTTTCAAATTCAGGCCATGGTTTATGACATGTGTTGAACCGGTATGGGCCCTAGCCCATCTGTACCTATCTCTTAGGCCCAAGCCCATGAGAAATGTTGACCTAGAAGAGGAGCTCCTCCTCCTCTGTTCCGTGAGAGCCGCCACACACCAAGAAAAACACAACAACAGCTGCTCCTGGTACGCTACTCCTCCAAGTTCAACATGGTATCAGACCAGGCTGCAGCGGCAGCGGCGGCGCCGGTGGTGTAGTCCGGCGAGGAGGACCTGCCGGGGGCGAACAACGGCGAGCTAGGCGTAGCGGCTGCGGCTGGTGGCGGAGTGCAGCGAGGCGGCGCGGCCGGCTCGGGAGAGGAGGTTGCTGTGCGCACGTGCTGCTGGAGCTGCTGCGTGCTGGAGGTGCTGCTGCTGCTGCGTGAGGCAGCGAGAGAGAGATTGAGGGGAAGAGAGAAAAGGAAGGGCAGGTCACGCATCTCACCTGACACGGCAGCAACGCTATCAGGTCCACTGCGAGAAGCTGCAGTTTGTCTCCAAGTCACCTTCTGCTCTCGACTGTTGATTGCTGCGGGTTGGTAAAGGAAGGAGAGGTGATGAACTGCTGCTGGTTGAGAAGAGGAGAAGAGGAGTGCTACTGCTGCTTGCAGGTGCTGAAAGTCCCGCTGTTTTTGGTCTGCTGCTGACTGAAAGGGAAAATGGCGGAGGAAGCACTGGCGGCTGCAATGGACAAGCTTGCGGACATCATGGCCGCGAAGATGGTGGCTGCAGGTGAGAAGGCACCTGCTGATGTGGGCTCGAGCGCTGCGCAGGCAGAGATGGTGCAGAAGATTGAGCTGGCTCCAAACGAGGTGAAGTTAGAAGGTGTAGAAAACTACCTGAGGTGGTCGAGGAGAGGTAAACTCATCCTCAGAACTAAGTCACTGGAAGACTATGCTCTTGGTGAGGTGAAGGAACCAGAAGACAAGAGGGGAGCTTCATGGAAGAAATGGAATGCCACAGACAGTTTCGTGTTGAATTGGCTGCTGAGTTCTCTATCCCCTTCTGTTGCTGCTTCGGTGGAGGACCTCCCTACTGCTGCTGAGGTATGGGCAGCGTTAGCTAGTATGTACTCAGGGAAGGGAAATGTCATGTTGGTCTCCAAAATTGAAGAAACTGTGCATGATCTCACTCAAGGTGATAGGACTGTAATGATGTATGTTGAAGAGCTGAAACATCTTTGGGCTGATTTAGACTATCTTGCACCTATTGTGTTGCCACATGCTGAGTGTGCAGTGATAGCTAGAAAGTGGGTTGAGGATAGGCGTGTCCTCAAGTTTTTGAAGGGGCTGGACTCCATGTTTGAGAATAGAAGGGCTATCTTAATGCAACAAGCTGAGTTGCCGTCACTAAGAGATGCCATTGCTGCTATAGCACAGAAGGAGACTAGACTGAAAGCTGTGGAGCGGTCAAAGGTGGCTTCCAG